TTAGGAACAGCTGGATGCAGAGCCTTGACCTGTTAGGAACAGCTGCATGCAGAGCCTTGACCCGCTAGGAACAGCTGCCTGCAGAGCCTTGACCCACTAGGAACAGCTGCATGCAGAGCCTTGACCCGCTAGGAACAGCTGTCTGCAGAGCCTTGACCCGCTAGGAACAGCTGCCTGCAATCGTAACCCGTTAGGCTCAGAGGAAGAGCCCATCAAAGCAGCCACGAGACAGTGCTTCTTGCCGTCAGAGTGGCAAGGCGTAAAAGGTTATGGCTGCCTTGTGCTGGTGAACTTGTGCAGGAAGGGGAATCTGAATTATGGCCTTTGGGGAAGCATCTGGCAGTAGCTCTTGAAATGACCATAACTGATGAACTCCAATGCCCGTGGAGCCGGCAGCCTCCTTCCTGTGACCGCCAAGGATGCCGTCCGGCACCGTTCTTCACTGGGGTAGGATCATCCAACCACTGATTCAGGGGCTGCGCAGCTGTGTGAGGGGACAAAGTGGCCAGCTGCTCTGTGGTTTGCCTGTCTCAGGGCCCAGAAACCCGAACAAAACCTGTTGCCGTCCAGTCGATTCTGACCCATAAGCGACCCTATAGGACAAAGTAAAACTGCCCCATAGGGTTTCCAAAGAGCAGCTTGTGGATTCGAACTGCCGACCTTTTGGTTAGCAGCTCTTGCTCTTATCCACTGTGCCACCAGGGCCCCCGTCTCAGGGCAGAGGCCCAAATACCGCTGTCTAAATCTAGGTCGTGCTAACAACCTGATAAACAAAGCGTGTTCTGCCCTCCCACCTTGGCGCATGTACCTCCAGAGCCGTCCAGGGGGCAGGCTGGAATCAGAGTTCTCGCGGAAGTAGACGTCAAGGGCAGAGCCGGCCACAGCTGCCCCACTCTGCCCTGCCTGGAGCTGCCTGCTTGCTTGTGCCTGTGGGCAGCCTGGCCTGCGTGTCCAGGCGCAACCACACACACCCCAACAGTACCCTCCTGGAGCCCCCAGCCCGCACATGCTCTTGGCCTAGCAGCCCCCCGTCGGAGGCAGACCTGGGGTGAGGCCTAGAAGAGGGGTGGAGAGGTGTGGGGGGCCTTCTCACCCAAGTGTAAGGGAGTGCGGAGGTGTGGTCCTCCTGTGAAAGGAAACAGCAAACCCAGTGATGGGAATAAACATGTACTCGTCAGCCACGTCAGTCACGGAGGAGGGTGGCCCATCACTCTGCAGGCTGTTAGCACTGCTGGGAGGGAGGAGAGGGGAGAGGGCTGTTAGCACTGCT